GCCCGAGCAAAAGCGTGCAGCAGCTGCCCAGCACGCAGCAAAAGAAGCCTACAGCACCCGGTATTCCCAGGCGGTCTCCCATCCAAGTACTAACCATGCCGATGCACTTTATGTTGTGAGACTTCATTGCCTTTCATTAATTGCTTCTGTAATCGTAGTCTTAGTGTAATGTGAGCTATGTTTTTGTTTTCCTGGTCACCGTTCCGAACGTACTGAGGAGTCTAATGTCGCTTTTCCGTGTCTGAGGGCCATGCTCCGTGCAGCCCCCGTGCAGCGCCGTCGGGCAGCTCCGCGGGCCGGGCGGCGCCGCGCTGCCTGCGTCTGGTGGGAACAGGGTGTGTTCCGAGTGGGAGAATGCATTGGGGGACGTGCTGTCCGCCGGCCGCCACTGGCCGATCCACTGCCTGCCGCCTGTTGCGATTGGTGGCTCTTGACATCCCCAGCTGACATTTCCCTCCCCTGTCTCCGAGTCCCTACCCCAGCTCTGCAGACTCTGCTCCCGTCCTACAGGCCGTATCCCGCCCCTACAGGCCCGACCCTAGCCCTACAGACCCTATCCCGCCTCACAGTCCCTATTACACCCACAAGACCTTCCCCCGCCCACTGTCCCTGCCTTGGCCTAGAGTCTTTATTCTGGGCCACAATTCCTCCCCCAGCCCACAGACTGTACCCTAGACCACAGCCCATATTCTAGCCCCACAGTGCGAATTACAACCCTACAATCACTATCCTAGCCCTACAGTTAGTGTCCCAACCCTACAGTGATTTCACCTGCAGTCCTATAGTCACTATCCCAACATCTCCAGTCCCACACTCCATCTCTGTATGTTCCCACTTCTTCCAGGTGAAGCTGCTTCTTCTTGTTGTGGAAGGATCTCCAGTTTTGTTCCAGATGTGTGATGTTTCAACTCCAACTCTAGAATTCGTATTCCAAACCCAGCCTGAAAAATTTATTTTTCCAGTTCTAGCTCCACAGTTGCTATCCCAGTCCTATAGTGATTTCAGCTCCATCCCTGAAGTTGCATTGTGGCCCAACAATCCCTGTACCAGCCCTACAGTCGTTATCCCACCCTGCAGTCATTTCAGCTCCATCCTTCTATTTCTCTGCCAGCTCCACTGCTTCAGCTTCAGTTCCTGCATCTTCCCACCACTTCCATATGAAGCTGCTTTATGAATCAGGGCTGGATCTTCTTTTCACATCCAGCTCTCTCATGCTTCAGTCCAGCTCTAGCATTGACATTCCAGCTCCAGCCTGTCACAGGTGGGAGTAGTAACTTCAGACAAAGTTTATTTAAGAAGCCCTCCCATTGTGTCACAAGGTGTAGAAAAGTATTCCCTTGCTTTCTAAAATCCTCAGAGAGAGGAGCCTGAGGCAGCTGGATCCAATCCCAGCCCCAGACTTTGCCAACAATTCAAGTTTTACAACTTTGTCCCACAGGTTTTAATGACAATGAATCAGATATATTTTTTTTAAAGAATGGATTATTTATTATGATAAATGATCAGACAAAAATAATCAGAATTATTTACTACACACTATAAAAGATAGAACTATTATACTACAAGATAGGATAGCGCATTATATCAAAGCAATATTGAAGCAATTATATTAAAGCTAACAAAAAGAAACCATTATTAGAGACTGATGTAACTCATCCATACCAATGACTGTGGACAAATCTCTTTCTTCTAACCTTTAGGAGTATCCTTGGTGACTATCCCTAAAACCCAATGGAAGAATCTTCACATTCTCCAAGGAGGAATATATTACTAGAACCTACTACACGGAAAGTGGACTGCACTTTTATAGCGTCAATGAGGTGACCACCAGTGATATGCCTACAAGTCAGTTTAGCAGTTTATCTGCCAAATCTTTGTCTTGTTATCAGCAGGTTGAGTTGAGGCTAATCTGCCAGATTGAGATAGTGTGCCAAATTTTTAGCACGATTCAACACCAGAAACCAATGCACATGATCCCCTCTCAGCTCACTGTTGGTAGCTTGCAAAATAGGGCATTGTTTGAATTGTTTGACCACTTTTCAGGGCTAAGCATCCTGTTATACAGCCCTACAGTCCCTATCCCAGCCCCAGCCCCAGCCCCACAGTGATTCTACCCTCAGACAGATGGGATTTATCAAGCTCCAGAGTTTTCATTGCTTCATATCGGTATGGGTCTGGATTTAGCCCCAGGGGCTTCAATATATCCTCTGGCCTCACAGCAACATCCCTATAATTTTTATTTTAAAAACATCATATATCTGGTAATAGGATAAAATAAAAATATGACAATGCAACAGTATAAATAAATCTTAATACAACTAGAATAATGTAAAACTAAGAGAATAAATAAGAAATTAGACTCAGTAGAAAATGAACGTGGATCTACACCCAAACTGATGTGAAGCAAAGGAAATGAAGAGGCTGGAGGTGGATAAATCCCATGGGGAAGGGGATGGAGCTGAAGTTTGGGAGCTGCAGGAGCTGCCAGGGCAGGTTCCAGCCCTCCCAGCAATGGCACCACCCACAAACTGGGAGTGGGGGTCTCAGGGCTGATCCTGAGGCTCAGAGCCAGCCCAGGGGCACCTTCTGGGGTGTGGAACCAGGAACCGAGCTGCTCTTTCCAGCACCTACTGCTGGCTGAGGGGCCTGTGTGCAGGTGGGGTGCAGGGCAAGGTGTGTGCTGCAGGCCAGGGCTCATTTGCCCCCAAAGTCGGGGCCCCATTGGGATGAGCTTGGCAGCTCATAGAGATATTTAAGTGATGACAGCTACGGACTCATTGCCTTGTCAACAGCACAGGAACAAAGTGACAACCAGGAGCAGCTTTTAGCCAGAGGTAGTGGAAAGCTGAGGACCTGGAACTGAGGCAGCAGAGCTGGTGGTTACATAGAGAATGTGAAGCTTAGGGTGAAACCACTGTGGGGCTAGATAGGGGCTGTGGGGCTGGGATAGGTACTGTAAGGCTGGAGCTGGAATATGGGTTCTAGAACTGAAGCTGAAGGATCAGAGAGCTGAAGCTGAAATGAAGATTCTGCCCTGATCCAGGAACAGCTTCGCACGGCAGCATCAGGTGGAGCAGAAATATCAGAGCTGGTGGAGCTTGTGGGGCTGGAGCAGGAATTGTTAGCATTCAGGAACACACATAATCACAGGATATGATTATATGCAGGTGCTTTTATTAAGAGCTCTGGGAGTCAGGGGTACAGACCCAAATCTGACTCCGACATGGCTTTCAAACTGAACATATCTTATATTCTATCGTTACATAACTCACATATTAATTATTAAACTTATATTGCTCTATTGTATACATTGACATGAGTTTCTCGTGATCTTTCTTAGGTCACTGACCACATTTTTTCATTATTATTCTTATGATTAAACAGTAATTATATTTAATTACTAAACAATCATCACATCTAACAAGTATATCAATTATCATGTACTAGCTACATAGTGCAGTTCTAGCAAGTACGAGTTCTCCATGTGCTTAGGGTGTTTATTTTTCCAGGGCCTACTAAGCTTATTTTTCCTTTTAACCCTTAATCCCCATGATTTTCAAACCCTTATACTATTAGAATCACTGTAAGGCTGGGATAGGATTGTGTGCCTGTGATAGTAATTATGGGGTCAGGATAGCAATGTTAGGGATGGAGCTGGAATCATTATAGGGAAGGGAAGGGAAGGGAAGGGAAGGGAAGGGAAGGGAAGGGAAGGGAAGGGAAGGG